TAATAAATATACAATACACCCTATATATATATATATATATATACTATATATATATATATATATATATATATATATATATATATACTGTATATATATATATATATATATATATGTATGCATTTTTGAACTTAATATTGTTAGAGGTGTTCGGGAACACCAGATATTGACAGCAATAGGTTACAGGTGCAGGGTATGGTGTCAAATGCATTGTTTGGGAAATATTGTGTTATTTTTTGTGTATAGAGCATAGAGCGGCATTCATAAAACTTACACCATCTTGCAGTGATGCCGGTTCTGGGTTTTGCTGTGGTTCTGTTAAGCCCTGAGAGATGCCTGCGGTCACACTCCGCTTGTGTTCGGCCCTGAGCGACGGCTGCGCTTCTTCCCACAGCACAAGCTGATCAACCTGAGCTTTCTGAAGCTCTTCAGGGCGGCCCGTCTCATTAAGCTGCTGAGGCAGGGCTACACCATCCGCATCCTGCTGTGGACCTTCGTGCAGTCCTTCAAGGTCAGTATGAGCTACTCATCCCATCCCACAGGTCCCTGACCCAGAAAGGTGTGACCAGAACCTACACAGGGATCTCCTTCTGTTTATATGGAACATTAGTTAAACTGTCTGTTTGTGTAATTGGGTGGAATGTTAAACTATGTAAGCTGATTTGTATATAATGACAGGATTTAACAGTAATTATGGACGAGCAATCAAACGCTGGCAAGGACCAGTATGTGAGCGGCCGAAAGCACCATCTGCACAGCCGAGCTGCCGAACTGAGGTTTGCTCTGATTCTTTTAGACTCGGACCTCTTTCTTTGATCGCTCTGTCTATCTCCTCCCCAGGCCCTTCCGTACGTCTGCCTGCTGATCGCCATGCTCTTTTTCATCTACGCCATCATTGGGATGCAAGTGAGTGAGAGACATTAACAGAGGCAGTAACATAGACGGAACGATAGGCGAGAAAAGGTGGCAACAGGCTTGTCGATGAGGACACCTAACAGCTGTCACCTTGATTTGGGGGCAGTTCGGCGCGATGGAGGGCTCAGTCAGATTCAGAAAAGGAAACAGTATGTTCTTTCATTTGCGATACTTAAATAAGTAAATAAGGTTAGGGATTGACTTCGAGAAGCATATTGGAATGACGCAGGAGAATTTAATGACTTCTATAAATCAAAACAGAAAAAACATTGACTTCCAGCCACAAGAAAACATGCCGGCCACATTAAGCGAAGCATTTTAATTGTTTTGTTCTCAGTTAGAACACAGTTGGTAATCATTTTGCTTCAACGTTCATATTTGTTGTCACACAATCTGACCTTTTGCTATGTACATTTGTAATTGCTCCCGAACATTGTAAGCATAATGTATCAATGTTTTTAGCCAAAAGGCTGCACGTAAATATGTATTTATACGGAAGCTATGAGAAGGAAGTTTCCAGGGTTAATTATGTTGAGTAAATTTTGCCTGATGGATGAGTTTTCATCATGATTAATATATCTCACTTTGAGTAAATTGGCATAAAACCATAATCGATCATTTTGCTGTATCTTGTTCCAGTGTAGTAGACTTTGAAAGTCAGCAATCTGGGCTTTGGCCCACTGTCTGTAGCATGGTGCAGAAGCACAATCTATCCCTCTGTTCCAGGTGTTTGGGAACATCGAGCTCAATGAAGATACTGCCATCAACCATCACAACAACTTCCGCACGTTCCTCCAGGCTCTCATGCTGTTGTTCAGGTACACTGAGAACCTGGCTGTTATGATCACGAGCAGCACGGATCGGGGAAGCAGGTGCACGGAAGCCAGGGATCGGGGAATACGGAGTTTAATGTCCAAAAACACAGAGCACGCAACAAAACAACATCACAACGTCAATGACCGGACTGGGGATACAAACGGGAACGCGGACTAAATACAAGAGACAAGCTAGACTTAACAGGACACAGGCGATCACAATTAGGGCTGAACACAAGGTAACGAGGTGGGCGTGGCACACATCAGGAGCGGACGGAGCGGATCATGACACCTGGCATGTCCATCCACCTAACCCTAACCAAAGGGTTCGTGATCAAAGTGAGCCGTCCTGGTGCAGATATAAACACTTCTAATGTAAGCTAATGAAAAACTGTCAGGATCATACAGTCTGTACAAAATTCAGCCCTGGCTGCGATGGATGGCTTGCACTCAGGAATTAACTGGCATAGACTCACCATTTTGCACTGTGCTAATAACCCCCCCCCCATCTCCGTCTCCTACACGTGCAGTTGAAGAGCTGTTTGAAGGCTTTATGGAGTTGTTCATGTCTTAATGGTCCAAAGCCAAGAATCGTCAATGGCGTTTGAACTGATGTCTTACCCTGCTCAGGGGTTTGGTTAGGGAAGTCTGGATCCCGGGTATCGCCGGGCACAAGGTTGGGGTACACCCTGAATGTCATGCTGGTTTGAACTGTTTTGTTTTATTTTACTGGGGATGTTAATGCATTTCAGTTCAATTCAATTTATTTTTATGTAGCACCCTTTACAACATTGTATAATTTTTGCAAAAGGAAATGAAGTTAATGACAATAATAAGGATTTACTGGCCTCCCATCCGGGGTCCTCCCCCCAGACCAGGATGAGTGTTGGGAGGTGGTTGGACAAAATCTGGATGTAGAAGTTGGGTTTCCTGGTTATAACAGAGTGCACGGCTGCTCTGTGTCCCCTGTGTCCCTTTGTCCCCCGTGTCCCTGTGTCCGCATGCTACGTGTCCTCAGGAGTGCCACCGGGGAGGCCTGGCACGAGATCATGCTGTCGTGTTTGAGCCATCGGCCGTGTGACGTGGGATCGGGCACGACGGGCAGAGACTGCGGCAGCGACTTTGCCTACTTCTACTTTGTCTCCTTCATCTTCCTCTGCTCCTTCCTGGTTCGTTCTGCTCACACACACCCCCCCCCCCCCCCCCGATGGCCACACCTCCCACCCGTGGCGTCGCCATGGTGAACACATGACACGTTACTCTAGATTCACCCTCGTGTCTTCGTGTCACACGTGTCACCAAGTGCAGTTCTGCCGAGCTGCCACTCGGAAACGCACTGCGGATGTGTTAGAATAAACGTAACTGTATAAAGGTTCTGCTGTTTATACGAATGATTCTTTCTCGTTTGGTCAGGCTGATGGTCTGTGTACCTTAGCTGTTTTACTTCCCACCTGTCCCTGTATAACAATGGCTGCCCGATAAGCAAATTCAAATGAATAATACATTGACAGCACATTCCAGTGTATGATTTAAAGGGACATTGTACTTCGTAGTCCTTTTTATCCAGGTTGCTTAGAAGCTTGTGCTGGAATACTTTTGGCGGTGATTGAAATTCTCTCCAGAAGCCAATCGTTTCCTCCTGACGCGTTTCCCAGATGCTGAATCTATTTGTGGCCGTCATAATGGATAATTTTGAGTACCTAACCCGGGACTCCTCCATACTCGGGCCCCACCACCTGGACGAATTCATCCGTGTCTGGGCTGAATATGACCCTGCGGCCTGGTAAGTACTCTCTGCTCCAGCAGATGGCCTTAGGATTCCCGGTGGTGCTGGGCGGGGCTTGGCTTTAAGACAGGTCTGAGATTATGAAACCCCTCCTAAGTGTCTTCCTGAGCTAATACACTCAAACGCAACTGGTTGTGTAATGTAAAAGTGTTGATTTTTTAAAATTGTCGCCTTGATACACTAATGCTTCAGAACTGACAATGTCACATCAATCAAAAAGAGTATTTCTCTAGGTCCCCACTGCTTTTTGATAATGTAAAAAATCTCAAATTAAAATTATATCTGTAATATTCTGCAATATATTGGAATTAGGAATTGGGCTGGTTTAATGACCCTTTCAGCTGCCTGCGTTATATAACACTACTCTGCTACACAATATATATACTGTAATGATTTATATTATTCATAGTAGACAGACTGGTTACTTTGGAAGATAATAATAATGAACAATACACTGGGTGGGGAAAAACAGATCTTGATTAAATTACTTTTTTTTAATCATATGACTATTCTTATTAATATATGAAATCCCATTACCTAAAGGAAATCCTTATCACCCTTATTTAAATCTCAGGAAGGAAATAATCTCCCAAAGTGAATCATAATTAAATGGGAAATTTTAAATATGGGGAAAGATCTCAGGAGTCTGTCATTTTTATCTAGTATATACTGGCTCCTTTAGTTGCCATGGTTTGAACATTTTATTACAACACGTCATTAGCAGGAAGTCAATAGGCCCGCTTCTGATCGACTTTAATTTATGCGTGTGGAAACTTTCCCAGCCTCCAAGTGAAATTTTTTTGCTAGTGAATCTGGGGCCTGATCCCTGGTCAGGTGACTTGTTGCATCAGTCTGGTTTAAGATTAGGTGCAGCCTTGCCGCTGAGGGTAATGATCTTTCTCTCTCAGTATTCATGTCGCATTTCAGAGTGTCCCTTTCTTTCTCAGACAGCTGCTTCAGATGCAGCGGAGATACTACTACTTTGAATAACAGACATACTGATTGCAACAAATGCGAGCACTGTGTGCATTATAAAACAATTCTGGTTTTGGTGGGGACACACGCATCACAGAGCGGGTGATCACAATTATTCACTTCTGCAGTCAGAGAACTATATCTTTCCCCCTCATTTACAATAACATTTAAGTGAATGAAGTGTTGTAATCAAATCTCTCACTTACCCCAAATGTTCTTCATGATAATTAAATGAAATATCTTTCCATATGAGTGACGCTTCACTGGTGAATATTCAGTGACATGGTACATGAGACATGCTTAACATGGCCTGTGCTTTTTGGAGTCCCGCCCTTTCAGTAGTAAGGTTTGAATTCGATCCTTCCCTGCAGCTAAATGTACCCCTCCTTACATTACACAAATGGACATCGTGTGCTTTTGAAATATGTATACTTCCCTTGTTTTAAAGATACTGTCATTTAATTGGAATGGTCGAAAACTACTTTGATATCAGTACATTGGCACCAGACCAATAAGCATTTGGACAAACGGCCCTTTTGTCCATCATTGGGAACTTCAGTCGTTACTGTATTTCATAATTGGACTGACGTCAGTGTGGGAAAGCTGGAGCGCTGAGCATTTTGGGTTTCCTGTACCTTGAAACCATCAAAGCTGAAAGTGTTTATCAGGTATTTAAATTTTACTCTCTATTTTTGTTCACTGTGCAGTTCAGTCTTTGCCCGAAGTCTTGTTCTAAACCTACCTGTTCTTTTTGCAGTGGACGGATACGCTATAAGGATATGTACAATTTGTTGCGCATTATCTCGCCTCCCCTTGGCTTAGGAAAGAACTGCCCTAATAGGGTGGCATACAAGGTTTGCAACACCAGACATTTCCTCCACTAGGGGGCTCTATAGACATATGCCCAAGACTTAATTTTATGACTATGCTTCAATGACTGACCCATGAACTAGCACCTGTCCTACCAATATGGCTGGCTTGTGGGTAAAGATGCCTTATTGGACACAAAGCTTTCAAAGTCGCGTTCAAACTCTATTTGGCCGGAGCAGCCAAACCGATTAACCGCTTTTCCGCAAAACTGCAACTGTTTGAGAAGGTATTTTTTTCAGACTGTTTAAAAAAAAGCATTAAGACTATTTAATTTTGGGCTAAAAAAAACTTGCGAGTACTTGCGCTAGAAAGCAGGGACTTGAATTTCATTTGACGTTTGCAAGCTTTGTTTCCAAGCACCTGGTAATCGCCCACTGATGTCTCTTAGCATGCAAAAGCAGACATCTTAAGAACAAGGCAACCATTCTGTCACCCTCTACATCCAGTGTGTCCTCACTCAGACCTCCTTATTCCATCCCATAACCTTCCTCAGGGATCAGAACACTCAAGCTCTTCCTCTTGAATTTTAGGATCCATCCCTGTCCAGTCCGGACAAGAATGGCATCCGTCTCCATGCTTCTCCTGGAAATCTAAATAACTCAGATTTCTGTTTTTGTTTTGTTTGTTTTTCTCCTTTAATTTGTTTCATTTTCTCCCTCTGTTCTCTCCTCTCTCTCTAAATCCCCATCCTTATCTGTTTGGTTTGGTTTTCACCTCCCTGAAGTGGCCGCATCAAGTACCTCGATATGTATGCGATGCTGCTCCACATGCCCCCACCTTTAGGTTTGGGAAAGAAATGTCCGCCAAGAGTCGCCTACAAGGTAGCCGTCCTTTGCCACTCCTGTGTCTCTCCTGCTCCCTCATTGGCTTACAGTCCGGCCAATCCCTGTGCTCTGTTGTGGCGGTCCTCCCCTTCTCCTCATTTGTTCTGTTTTGCCACTGTTCTGATCTTTTGGATGTAGCCTTGCTTTGTTTTTCAATTCACCCAGCAGAAACTGAGGTGCAGGCAAGTACTGACAAGGTGACGAGATGACGGGATGGGGGACCACCCCGATTAAACAATGAAAGGCATCTTCCTATTTGGATCAGAGAGGGATGTAATTTTAGGGGAATTATGATGTTCCGGGGAGTTACTTTCAGCTGGAGCTTCTTCTCTGCCAAGACGGAGTGGGAAACATTTCTCTGTGTTTACCTTTAATATCGCTGAAGATCACTTTTGAGAGTCTCCTGACTTGTGACCTCTGGTTTGCACTGAAGTTGCTGATCTACATTGAGACTTGAGACTTTTTTTTTTTTTTTTTACAGTGAAGATGTTTTATTGCCTCCATATGATTACGCAGAATTATACCCAAAGACATCTTCAGTTTAAAATACAGCTCCCCATTAAAAGACAACTTAATTTAATTATCTGTAGATTGAGGCAAGTTTTCCCCTCTCATCTCTGACTTCCCAGTTGATCAAATATCCACCGATTCCACATCTGCTGCAGACAGACCTATTTTCACTTCTAATATCAATCAATTCTTTTTTTCTTTTTTTGGATTTCTCATTTTATTTTTGGATCTCTCCACTAAAGTCCCCCTTCAATCAGACTTCCATAGCACTTCCCATAACCATGACCAAAGAATTTAAGGAAAGAGAACTTTTTTGTCACGGTGGCTTAAGCTGGCATAATGGAGGTGCTGTGGGGGGCTGGATTGAAACCCACTTTGAGTGAGCAGTATTTCAGCAAAAGCCTTTATCTTTGACACTGAGTTGGGATTGTTCTCTCTCTCTTCTTTCTGGTTCCATTGTGGCTCCCCAGTGCTTTGACCATCATGGGTTGTTCTCTGTGTCAATTTGTGTATGTGTATGACTGATAGAGAGAGAGAGAGAGGGGCAGAGAGAGGGTATTTGTGTTCTGTGTTTGGCTCGTCATGTCTTGCGTCTTACTCTTGCACTGCCATACACACGCACATGTGCAGTTTGCTGTCTGTGTACAAGGGAGCTTATAAATCTGTGCGGCTTTGATGTAGATATAAAAACGTGTACGCATCTTTTTGCAGTGGAAATAATGTTTGCTTAATCAAGGGGAGATGCATCTTTCTAGACTAGTTTCTACCATATTTGTTCTTAAACAGTCTCCCTGGGGAGCACACTGAAATGTGTAACGCCGCATTAAACAGCCTCCCTGGGGAGCACACTGAAATGTGTAACGCCGCATTAAACAGTCTCCCTGGGGAGCACACTGAAATGTGTAACGCCGCATTAAACAGCCTCCCTGGGGAGCACACTGAAATGTGTAACGCCGCATTAAACAGTCTCCCTGGGGAGCACACTGAAATGTGTAACGCCGCATAGGACATTTTGGAGGTGTAAAGTTACAGACTTGGTATCTGTCTGGGAGGTGGTATTCTTCATTATTGTACTATGAGTGCTCTGTTGGCTGGAATGACAACAACATCTCCAGGAATCACAGTACAGAACAAGCAAGGAGCCTTCTTTTGTTTTTTTTCGCATTCCTGTTCAGCAGATGGAGCAAAGCACCATCATATAAAGATAAAATAAATGTCTGTTTTAATGATATTATAGATTATCTGTTGTCCTCTTGCCTTATATATTATTTCAAGATTCAATCCATCTGCTATGGCAGTGTTTCTCAATCCTTGGGGACCCCTAGATGATCTAGATGAGAAACACTGGTCTAGATTTAGCAGCAAGTATTATTAATCTAGAATGCATGGTCTTCATGGTTTAGCATCTGCAGTTTGTGCTCCTGAGCTTGTTCTGTTGTGCATCATGATGGTTATGCTTGCATGCCAACTCTCATATTCCTCTGTCTCTCACCAGTTGCACTTACTCTTACAATCAGAACGTTCTCTCACTGTCTGCCTTGGATGTGAATGCAATTCTATCCTCACCTCCTCCACCTGAATCTAAAGAACCATTTTGTGTGCAGGGGTGGGATAAACTTGTACAGTTAATAAACTTGTACAGTTAATAATAAATAAATAATTAAATAAATAAGAAATCAACCAACAAATCACTGTTGTACCTAATTTGCTAGATGAATCCATTAGACCAACCTGAGTCCAGCACACTAAGTCCAGAGAATGTTGGTGTAGCAGAACTTTAGCAAAACATAGTCAAACAGTGATTGTGTCCAGCACACAGATGGTTCCTCCACGCGTGACTGACGGAAGTTCAGTGGTCAGTGCCTAGTTGTGTTTAAGTGTCTTCTTCTTCTACCCCAACCCTGGTTCCTCCTCAGCGGCTGGTGAAGATGAACATGCCCATCGCTGATGACAACACTGTGCACTTCACCTCCACTCTCATGGCCCTCATTCGCACTGCTCTGGAGATCAAGCTGGCCTCTGGTGAGTTTCCTCTCTTCCTACCTCACCCTTTTTTTCTTTTGCTATAGAATTTATCTGTTCTGCCACAAACCCTGATTAGGAGCCCTTGCATTGTTTGGCAGACAGTTTGATCCGGGGTGTTTTGATACAAGAATGATGCCGTTTCAGTCCTTGAAGATTGACTGTCCAAAGAGAGACTGTTAGCCACTTGATTGGTGGGTAAGATTGTGCAAATTTGGTACGGAAGTTTGGCATGGAAGCAGAATGTGCAATAACTAAATAGATTTAGGTTCAGGGTTATGAGCCCAGTGTTATTACTTCATTTGACAGACCCTGTCTTAGGCTGTGAGGAGCCCAGATGGTTCAGCAAAGAACATAGTTTTTAGCCTGACTGTTCTGGTTTTAATGCTGCAGAACTTTCTGGCAGAAGGTCTTAGAGCAGAGAGGTTGTGAGAGGGGTTTGATGGGTCCATCCGGCTGTAAACAGACAGAGGTCCTTCTCAGCTCAGCTCTCCGGCTCTCACACAGATGCTCATTTGCTGCTTCTGACTTACGATTGTTAAGTAGCTATGCTTCAGTCCCATTTGTACTCATTAGAGGAGGCTGCGTCTCATTTGCTGCCGCAGAGAAGAATGTGGACGCCGTGGGCGGGTCTCAGCTTCACTGCCCGGCCCCTGCTATTGGCAGGTGGCAGTTCAGTCTCAGTCATCTCTGAAAGGTCTACAGAAAATCACTCTGAGCTGAATTTTTTTCAGAGAAGTAACAGTACAAAGAACGTGCATCTGTGCGTCTGTACAAGAGGATGCGAGTCAGTGCAGGTGTGATGGCTTTGCCCTCCGAGACCCCATGAGTCAGAGTCACGCAGAGAGTCAGAGTCACGCAGAGAGTCATGATTATGTAAAAGAGAAACTTGAGCACCTGGTTACACTGAGAGATATTTTGATGGATTTTTAAATGGTTTGGGAGAAGAAAATGATGTATCATGAACTCAACAGTTTTATTCTGCAGCTTAATTGGTAACGCATTACATTAACTACAAGTTCATAATGCCTTTATGATGCATATAAACATTTCTAATGCATATAAACACTTTATAATACATATATAACATAATGCATTCATTGAAGATTCATAAGCAGCATGGATGTATACATACCTTGGCAGCTTTCAAATACATTAATAACAAACACTATATGATTATAACAGACATTATAATCATATACTTTTTGCTATTAATGTATATTACATCTGATAAGGTGTCTTAGGATGTTACGGTGTACTTACATGCTTCTTATGAATGTTCTATGAATGCATTATAAAGGCGTGTGTTTTGTAAAAGTCAAAGTAAGTGGGGGAGCTGCTCAAGTCTGCCCTGAATTTATTCACAGAATCACACGGAAGAATGAAGACATTTTTCAGGTTACATGATTATTGATTAGCTGTAAAGCTTCCCTTCAGCTAAAATTCAGGTATTTGCCTTTTCAGCAAAACAAAGTTCATTAGTTGTTGTCCCAAGAATCTGATCTAGACCAATTTGCTGCCAAGTGTTAAAGAAATTATTACAGAAAGGGTAGAGAGGTTACCTGCGAATATCGAATGTGCTATATTGGGAGAGTGCTAATTGATCCCTGTACAACACTGTAATTAGCTGGGCTGATCGTCTTGGCTTGAGGCCTGATTGTATTGATCGCTGTGCTTTTCCCTCCAGGGATCGTGGCACAGCGTCTCTCAGATGCTGACCTGAAGAAGGAGCTTGCTACTATATGGCCAAGTCTGTCCCAGAAGACCATGGACCTGCTTGTCACTCCACACAAACGTAATGCTAATTTGCACAATACTTCTGACCATTTAGACCAGAGGTCTTAAAGTTTAATACGCCTGTATCATTTTTAACATTGTTTTTCTTTTCTCTTTTGGCTTCAAAAATAATTCAGGTGGCCTTCTTGGTAGAGGATCTCCCAGCGAGTGCTCCCTAGGTTATCTCAGTTTGAGACCCCTGATTTAAACCCAGCGAGTGCTCCCTAGGTTATCTCAGTTTGAGACCCCTGATTTAAACCCAGCGAGTGCTCCCTAGGTTATTTCAGTTTGAGACCTCTGATTTA